TTTTAAAAAAACAATAGATAAAATTGATTTAGTTTACATTATTATTGCCAAAAATAGAAATTTAAAGTGCTTATAAATTAATACAATAATATATTTGTTTTGTGAATAAAAAATATTCAGTATTCCAATGAATAATACAAATGGCAGTGGCGGCTCGTGTTATAGTGCGCAGGAGCAGTGCACCATCTGTAATTTTAAAAACTATGGGTACATTGTTTTGTTATATTACTACAATATACAAATATATTATTAATTATTATAATACATTATATTTTATTATAAACTAGAAATGAGTTCATATTTATTTTAGAGACAAGAATAAAAATTATTTTATAAAATTAAAGAAATATTTAACGCGAAAATTCGAGAAAAACGAATGTTATCGCACGTTATAGGTATGTCATCGTACACAATTCAAAGCGGAATTATGGACGGGCTAATACAATTTTTATACCGGTCACGCATGCACATTTAACCGTTTCGGTCCCACTATTGGCACAACTACCATTAGTCTTAGTGGTGCGTTGGTGCACAAACAAATATTGCACCACCGTGACCGTACAGCCGTCTGCCGCTGCTAATGGAGAAAATACATTGGGAACCGATTATTTCTTTTGGATAATATTAAATTTGTCCCGCGGGCGGCGTTATCTCCAAAAGTACCCTATAGAAAATACTGAACGACCCGATTTACATTAAAATTTTAAATAATATTATTTAATGTAATGTAACAAAGCCAACATATTAATTCCCTAATATTTATATTATAATAAAACATTCGTTTTAGTTCCTGTTTTCCGAATCGACTGTAATTATTGTATACAATTTTTTAAATGTGCACCACTAATTATTTTACCCACGAGCCGCCACTGAAAAATGTTATAGTCAATAGGTAAGGAAATATATTATAAATTGGAGAATAATAATTTAAAACATACATATTATAAATACAATTTAATTCAAATAATTCAATTGCCGTGGAGTCGTATTTTCCTGGACTAACAGACGAATTTGACGTGGGGCTAATCTGATTTACTGCAGTCACCAGTAGCGCAAGCAGGATTTTTTTCGGGAGGAGATTTTATTTATAGTAATTTCCCACATATTATCAGTATAGTACCATCAATATTATTACTGAATAAACGATTTTTGATCAAATTAAACTTTATTTTATTCTGAGGTGTAAGATAGTATGTTGTTGAATGTAAAACTAGATTTAAAAAAATGCAGCGAAGAAAGAAATTTCAGGAGGGATTATAACCCCCTAACCCCCCCTCTGAATGCGCCACTGGCAGTCACATTTGCCTGACGTCAGATTTGTCTGACACACCGGTAATTACTCAAAATTTAAAATGCCTATTTACGCCATCGGGATAGATCACCAGTTTTCGTCAATTTAAAAAAGTTTGATTCCCGTTCCTACCAATATAATGCAGGTATTATTAAAATTGTATCATTACAATCATTACAACAGAAACCTTATTCAAATTTGCCCGCGACAATTGTAAAACGAATATTGTTCCCAAAACATATAAAATAATAATAATAATAATAATATGTAAAAATATCAAAACTATTCCATGCCAAAAACTCAAAACATGTCGAAGTACAATCTACAACTTTTATCATAGATAAAATATTATATACTAAATATGTATTATTGACTTTTCAATATAGTGTTAGATATTATTCGTTATTAATGTTATTTAATGACAGGAAAATGTAAAATTTCTTCTAAAAGTATGAAATATAAGTAAAATAATTTTACCAAAGCATGAAGTATGTATATTGACAGAAACGGAATTGAAATTTTTTTAAACTAACGGAAAAGAACGATGGCAGAAACGATAAATGCCCGATGTACACTAATCCCGAAAATCAAGAAAACCTTAGATGGGGCTGGGGATACTTGAGGTAGATTTAAATATTTTAATGGGAGAGAAGAGAGGCGGGGACATGCAAGTATATTACAATATTCGTAAAAAAAGCTAAGCGGTAATAATATTATCTCAATAGGCCGCTTTATTATAGATAATGCAGTATACATTAATAATATAATTTTAATAATTAATAAGTAAGAATAGCAAACATGTTTGGACTTTTGGGTAGCTTATTAATTTTTTGACGGCAGCAGAACGACAGGGACTAACGTCCTAGATTCTTATAAAATACGAAATAATATTATGTATACTTTTGCTGGTAGTTAAATTCATTTTTAAAATGTTGGTAACCCTAGTATACTCGTATCTATATGTAGTAGGAAAATTCGATTTTCACGCTGTTTAATATGCTTTTTTTTATGGGTCATTCAAGGGGCGTGTCGCTGCGCCTTTTGTCAATTAATCGAACTACAAAAAACTGATGAAATTGTTGAGTATCATGCTGACAGTATTATACCCGTACCTACTCACGGTTACAAAATTTGAAAATTCGATAGGTATAGAAGCAAAAGAAGTAGATGGTACGAAAAAAGGTGAAACGGTCGTAAAACCCATAAATTCCTTCATATTGCACCTATATGTCATTGTGGTTTATGTTGAATTTCAATAAATGGGTGAAATATTAAAAAAAAAATCAAACAAAATAAAAATGCATTTTAAAAGTAAGTACATAAACTGAAAAAAGCATTAATAATTCAAAATCTAAAAAAAACATGTCGTGTATTAATCCTATAAGTATCTTTATCTATCCTATAATATTATGTAGTAGGTTTGAAACAAACGTACCTAAAGGGGTTGACATAGCGACGAATTAGACCAATAGATAGCCACACATGAAAAAAATAAAAAAAAAATGCAAAAAACATTATCCAAACTGACCACACGCTACTTACTCTTACTTTAAGAGGGGAAATAGCTATTTCCTTTGAATGTTAAATTGTACTCTATCACACCATACGTATGTAAATTGGTTTGGTTTATACGGTATACGTTCGCACTTGGAAATATAACACGAAACAAATACAATCGGTACTAATGTAAAAACAAATAGAAAAGAAATTTAAATCCTAAAACGTATTATTAGTGCACCAAGTCCGCGTAAAATAAGAGCTTATGTAGCTCTTTATGTAGAACACTGTAGACACTAGATTGTACCTGCTCACAAAATTGCGGAGTATAATATGATCCCTTTGACTCTATCCATAGTGGCCAGCTGATCACAACTCATTGTTACGAATTTTTCTTAATCACGATTGTGTATAGAGAAAACAGTCCATAAGTATCTGAATTCATCTTATCATTAGAGATAAGATATTAGAGATCATTAGACAATAATTATTATCTAGACACTCTAACTACACCTATCTTAGATGTATCTTAATTCGTGATTTAAATTAAATAAATTGTAAATAAAAAATAAATTACAACTGTTTTGAACGAATTTTATCATACATCAACTAATATTTTATACTAGCTTGGCCTATATAATTTAGAACGTAGTTTATGAACTAAATACATTATGTATTGTGTATATTATATTAACCTATTAAGTATGATTACTATATTATGAATAGTTTTCTGAATTCCTATATTATACGTAAAATGCTAGGTTTATAGATAATATATTTATATCTTGTGTAAAATGTGCCTATACGCGAGCTGCCATATGCATTCAGTTTTTATTTTTCACATTTGCAACTAACTTCGATTAGTGATAAATTCATTACTTTTTTTTTCGGAGAATATTAGTAACTATAAAATATAAACACTAATATATTATATAGGCATTTATATCTACCATGACTCGGAATGTATGTGGTGACATCCTGCCAAGATCATATTTTGATTAATATACACATCCCATGCAAGTTCAGTGTAAGTGAATAAATGGCACCAACGTGACCACGTGTTCTTTTCTCGCGCTGTCACTTTCGTGGTTTACACTGCGTTCATCGTGATTCGTTTTGCCCACGATTTAAGATAATGGTTATTGATCGTCATGTGAGCTATGCTTGTGATAAGAATATTTATTTTTTTTTTATATATATTTAAAAATGTTTATATCTACTGTTGAACTTATAGATCAATTAAACTATTTTGGTAATAGTAGAAAGCCATTAGTTGAAGGCACACAAATACTTTAATGCAATCAAATAATTTAATTAGTATTAAATAATTAAATGAAAATAAAGTTATGTTTATAGCATTGTACTTACAAATATCCAATTTAAATGTGCATTATCATGAAATTAATATTTCAAAAATTTGTGCAAATTAAATTGTAATACGGTCATAGCTAGTTCATGAAGCTATAAAGCTAGCAATTGTAAATGTAAGTATATTTAGGGATTTTTACTCAAACTTCAAAATTAGTACCTACCTGTTTTGGTGTGTATATGGTATACATACAACCAAGAATATTGTAGTATTATTGATAGTTACTTATATTATTTTCTTTTAGAACTTCAGATGAGGAGATACAACATTTAAGATATACTGATATTTGTCAACAATGGGGCAAATCAAAAAATACTGGAATTGATTTGCTTAAACCAATACTAATAAAATAATTTTGTCATGTTGATTATTCTACTGCTGTTTATAAACAAGTTTTACCAAATTCATTGCACCTAGATCTTCAAGAACAGGTTTTTGAAACATTGTTGCAAGGTACCTACATCATTCATCAATAGTTTTGTCTATATTTTTAATTGGATTCAACTAAACTGCAATTTTTATTTTTAAATTCAGCAGGATTTTACAAAAAGGGTCTAATATTTATGCCCAAATTTATTGATGTACCAAGTGCGGCAGAAAATTATTTGAATAAAAAGTTAATTGCTTGGAGTGTAATATTTAAAAAATATTAAGTTTGAAAACTAAGTCAAGTAAAATATTATACTTATCAAAATATTACTTTTAACCTAAAAATACCTGTTATATTATCTATTTATTTTATTGAAGTGAATCCTGTGCTATTCAACTATTGGCTTGAACTATATACTCGTACGTATACAATAATGCAATTAAACAATTGGCCGAGGTCGCATAAACTGTCGTTTAAAAGCTGGAAACCATAGTCTGAGCAGTCAAATTATTAAGCACCCACAAGCTGGTGTCTGGTGAGTGAGCTTTTCGTATCGTCTTGGCCTTAGCTTCATCATTTCGCCCTCTTCTTTGTGATGAAGAATGTCCTTCACCTTGTGGTAGAAGTATTATGGACTGCATTGAAAGACGAAGATTAGCTGTTGATATCTCATCAAGTCATCTTCCCTGGATGGCAGATCAGCAGGCCACAAAGCAGGTTCTGAAAATTATTTGATATTTATACCCTGCTATATTATTTCAATTATTTATTAATCAAAATAACCTTTTCAAGTATTGCGTGTAATTCTTTCTAATGAATATCAAGCATTGTTCATTGTTATTTATAAATTATTCAATGTTAATTAAATAACTATTTAATTTAATTTTGAGAAATATGTTAGGTAATGTTTATATTATTTTTTAGTGTCTAACATTTAATATTATTTTAGGTTTTCCAGACTCAGCAATATTCATTGACTTATAAGGATACCATAGTCCTCAGATTAATGCATTATAAGACACAGAAATCAGTATGGTCAGTTATAATAGAAATAATTTTTATACTAAATTGGTAACTGCATACAATTAAATTATCCAAAATGAGGAAAATAATATAACCATGCTTGCTAGTAAAAAAGTTTTAATTAATGAACAAAAATCTGTAAATCTGTGTAATTGTACATTTTCTCAAATAAGGCCATTATAGCATAAAATATGCATCGTAAATTAAGAATAACAGATATATCAGCTTATAAACTTATTTTAGTAAGACACTTTAAAATATTAATATTAATTTTAAATTGAAATCCTTATTGTTTTCAAAATTTTGTGGAAATAATATTATTAAATCTGGGTTGAAAATGAACCTTGACTTCTAAAGCATTTGAAAAAATTAAATTTTAACTGTTATTAAATCTGGTTTTATTTATAATATTCATTGTTCTTGGTTGTGACATAGTTTAAATGGATATTTCATCGATGATCAAATTTATTTAATTGAAATCAACTGTCCTGTCATAGGAAAAAGAACATCTGGATTAGAACTATTAAAAAGTTTAAAATATGTTACATTTAATAGTCCAAAGATACTGATTCTAAAATAAAGACTTTCTTATTATGGATAAATTTATCTAGATTTATTACTTAGGAAAATATTAAACAATGTTATTTAGTTGTTTATGAAAAAAATAGTGATTCTGTTTTCCTAATAGAAGTATAGTTTAGTTAGATGAAGTATTTTGTAAAGAATTTTATGCCACTTTAAGTTGCATATATTTCAAATAGGTTTTACTTTTTTTATTGGAGAATTTGGATAGTACATATTATGAGTTTAAGTATAATGCTTTATATTTTAATAAAATATATTGTAGTACAAAAGTTGTGTGTTTTTTTGAACAAAATATATTAAAATTCATGATTACCTATTATTGGATTTGAAATATTTGTAATACCACACACATTGTCAACAATTTTATTTCAATTTTACACATACACTTCTACAGCATTTTATTTTTAAATATATGATATATTTTAATTTGTGATATTGCTCTCTCTATAGCCCATATGAACTCTAATTTTAAAAATTTCTGTATTTTCTACACCATCTGTTAAACTAAGTTGTTTATTTTTTCTTAAAAAATATAGATGAATTAACTTAATTCTTGCATTCTAGCATGATTGTTCTACAAAAAAATCTTTATCTGATATAATAAAGTCCCTTATTTCATACTTTTCTAAAATATCATTTTGGTGTCTTAACACAGTTTCATTTCCATTAATAATAACTTTTGTTGACAATAAATTAATTAAACACTGAAGAATATTTTTTTCTATAGTCGGGTTTTTAAATACCAGATAATTGGAGACTTCAGAATTAAATATAATAGATCAATTGTGTTGAAAAATAATTTTTGAATGTACTTTTTAATATATTAAGCAACACACAAAGGCATTTATATGATATATTTTATTTTAACTTAAATAATGTTGATAATATTATCCTGTGGTGAATATCCAAAGTAAATAGAGTATTATAATAAAGTCTTAAAACTATTAACTCCTCTGCCTCAACTATTTTTTTGATATTTTACTAATGTGGGATCATTCCTTATGATATTCATAATAATGCTTCTGAAAACTGATGGTTGGTACAATGCATCAACCTGATTACATTTATCAAAACATAATTTAATATTTTCTTTATTAAATATTTGAACACTATTTTTATCTTATAATTCAGTAGCAAGTTCTTCATTTTTTCCTCTATGTCAATAGTTGGAGATACATTACCCAAACTGAAATCCAAACAATATATTTATTATAATTGTATATGTATAAATAAAAGCTTATGAGTATGTAAATAAATTATATGCTAGAATAATGTATTCATTTTTATTGAATTTGAGAAACCAAATTTAAATAATTTATAGCTGATTTTTGTTTGATTTTGTCTGGACATTAAAATTATTTAAAACAAATGATATTAATTACAAACAATTTAATAATTTAATTATTAATCAATAAAAATACCTAAATATTAAATCCTATAATAATTTAATCAGAAAAGTATTATTAATATTACGTTTTGGATTAAGAACAAAATTTGTGTCTTAGAAATGAAATGATTACACTACAGTATTTTTGGTTTTTTCTTCCCCCCATTTTCAAAGCAATTTCCCACTGTTGTTTATGGTCACGTGACTTGGAAACATGTGAAAACTTATGCTAATATTACCAGGTCTGAAATATAAAAAAAATAGCAACACTAAATAATTAGTTATGTTACTGATCTTGTATTCTTCCTGTACAAATATAAAACTTAAATGTATTTGTCAATGCATTTAGGAACATAGTATCTACCTTTTGAGTGGTAAATATTAGCTTTAGTATTATTACAATAATATTATATTCGGACATTGTGGGCATTGTATTTTATACTTAATTATTTTAAAAGAAAGTTAAGGAATAATAAATATTAAATAGGTACCCTTTATATATTATATAATACAATTTTACACAGCAGTAAAATACATTATTTGTATTAAAAATGGTATAATGTTTATTACATAAACCTTCATTTAATTTTTCGGTTTTTCGAGGTGATATTTTCCATTAATGATTGGAATCCAAAATCATAGAAAAGAATAAAATCAAGGGTTAAATCAAAAAATATTTAATTATTTATTTTAATACTATGCAGTTTATTTGTTAAAATGTAACCAATCCATTGGCTCTGATCAATATGTTTGGACCTATTCCTGTGTGTATAATGTGTAACATTGAAGTCATCTATGTAAGAATTGAAGATTTAATTCTAGTTTTCATGGACAATAGTGTACAAGTTATTGATGAAATAGTTGGAAATGTGTCTTAAATTAACATGGACATGAGTATACAATAAATATACCCAACTGGTGTGGAGATTATTGATGAAGTGTAATTAGAGGAATGAGTATAATATATAATTATGTACTCCAAGGTTTTTAATTGTGAGTTGTAATTTTATTACAAGTTAACAGTGTACAATTATTACATGGTTAAGATATTATTATTTTATTCATATGTTACATGACAGATTGTATTTAACTGGAGGGGGTGAATTATATTCAAGCATTTGGAAGATTGTGGCATTTTATATCTGTAGAAGAAAAAAAAAAATGTATATTTTCGATTAAAATTTATACTCTAATTAAGTTTTTATCTTCAAGTTTTTAATTTTGTATTATTATATTTTGTAACAGGTTTTGCTAATAATAGAAGGGAGGCCACTGAGAGACCTCACAATATCAATTAACTCTCATAATGAAGAATTGCTTGAAATTATTACTGTGGAACTGTCTGGCATGGAATTTGCAATATAACTTACTATTTATCTCAAGATGCACACTAATTATATTTTAATCATATTAATTACTAATGTTTTTATTTTATTTTTTAATAGATTTGCTTATTTAATTTATACAAATACCAATTAATTTAACAATTTATAAATATATTTATCAATATAAATTATTGTAAATATAAAAGAATAAAAAATTACATTTAAAGTATATTTAAACAATAACATATTCATTTTGCAACATTTTTTTCCTAATGGTTGTAAATTTCATTTTATGTGTGCAGTTATTACTGGTCTATGATCATATTATATTATGCAAATGTATGCATGCATATAATATTATATAACCTTGATTTCTATATGATTACAATAATAATAATTATAAATATTACAAAATCCCAAACTTAGAAAACAGAATTGTATTTTATTTTATTAATTGATTGATAGAATTAATTTTTTTCTGTTAATTTCATTGTCTTTCTACAGACTGCTAATGCTAATGTTGCACATGATAAAGCATAATATAAAACTTTTCAATGGCTATAATCTATGTAATTTTAATTTCATACAATTTTAACTTGTATTTTATTTTATAACTTGACATTTACGATATTTCAAAATGTTTGTGTAATTAATAATTATATTTATATTAAATAAATAACTATTTTAATGTAGAATCACTTCTATTTATATATATTGTTGATTTTTTTGATTGATAATTGAATATTTTTTTTATCTAAAAATAATATACAAAATTATATTATTCTTTTACTACAAAAATATATAATCTTGGATATAACCAAACATAGTTAAATAAAAAACATACTATTATGTATATTTTTTTACCCGTATATGTACAACACCGTGAACTAGTCAATTAGTTGTAGATTTAAAAATTTATTAGGTACTCCCAACGAAAAGGGCAGTAACTCAATTTATGCAATTGTTCAGGATAGCCGATCAAAGATCCAAATATGATTAAATTTCTAATTCTGTTTTTAATTTATTGTAGTGAATTTTTTAAGTTATGTTTATTATTAAGAGTTGGTTTGAAAATAAACAATTTATATTTACAATAACTTAATTAATTTAACTATTTTTGGCAGTTACTTTTTTTCTTATAAGTAACTGAAGTTACTTTTATTTACTACTTTTACACCATTCCACTAAATTATTTCATTATTAGATGATGTTTTCCAATTTAATATAACATTTTCAACCTTTGGTTAAAGTCCAAAATATCTTAGTTTGATATTTCAAAAATAGTGAAAAGTTTTTTACTTTAGCACACCTTACTAAAGCTACCCATTGCACTGTATTATAAATGACTTTATTCTTTTTAGCACACTCTATTATTAGGCGTGTATGCTGTGTCACTTTCATTTTGTGTATGTTTTCTTTTCAAGGAATGTATGTTGAATATGCTTTTTTTTTGTGCAAGCTGCATACAGAGTATACAAATCTCTTGCGGTTTTGTCCAGCACAATTATCTAAATAAAAACTGAATTGATTAATTCTACTCTTTTTCATTATCTTAATAAATTTTAAGATACTAGTTGCAAGCATATTTGATCCACCTATACCCTCACTTTTATCACACATGATGCAGTAGTCAACTATTTTCCAATATCATATATTGTGAAGTTGTATGTTGCTAGTATAATTTCTAGTAAAATGTACCCACTTCACTTTAAGCAGTTTGTAATATTTTCTGTAAATCAAACACTGCAACACAGAATGTAATCATTTTCTCCCCTGATTTTGTTGATATTCTTTTTTTTTCTCTAGCTAAAATCTTATTAAATAATAGGTATATGCTCATCATATGAAATTTGTAAATTTTGTTTTTTTTCTGGACTAGTCAATCTGTATTGTTCATAAAGATTACATAATTCTTTCTTGGGTTTGAAAAAAAGCATAATTATAATAATTATTGACAATATCAGAGTATTGTTTGTAAGTAACTTAATGAATTACTTTCGAATTTATTGATGTTTAATCCAATTTAGGTATAGTATAGAATATGCATTATAGAAATTGAAAGATTACATTCAAGACATTTTCTTTTTGAATATAATCTAGTTTAATAGAAATCAACAATTGGAAAACTTTCAATATGTTCCTTTATATATTATAATAGCATTTTCAAAAGTAGGAAAATTTTTCATGAAGTCTTTAGTTCTATTGTTTATATGTTTGACAAAATTATTATTAGTCTTATAAGCGATTTTTACATTATTTGTATTGTTCAGAATTTTAGCTAGGTACCAAACTCTATCCAATTTTTCATCACTACCACAAGTTGATGGTGAAGAAAATTGAATAACCATGAATACAAATTTGTCTCCTATCAGATCTAATTGTAGCTGTAAAACGCAATGTTGCTCTTTCCAGAATTTCCAGTATTTTTTTTTAAAATTATTCGATTACAGAAATCAAGAATTTAATGTACCTCGGTGTTTTCACCCCGCTCCTACTTAAGTTAACAACCTTTTATTTTTTTAGCCCGTTTAAATTATCAATAAATAAATATATAAATAAAAAATGTATACATATCTGGTTAAAACCTGGTTAATTCCTGTATTTAAACCATAGATAAGGTGTAATAGTCTGTTTTTTACTCTCATGAACATACAATACACCGTCTCTCTCAATACATGTTGTCTTTTTTAAAATAGGCAGGGATACGGAATGCACAGTCCATATATTGATTGTCTATGTTTGAGACGGTTTTTTTTTATTTCTATTGATAAGATAATTTCTATAATACCTGATAGTATACATTATTGATATAATATTTTGGAATGAATATTGTATATCACGGTCAAGTTCGAAGATCGTGTTGTATACCTACTGTATAGTCTATTATATTTGTGAACAATATGGAAAAAGTTCATAAATTACAAATGGTTTTAGAGTTTTATCGTCGTCGTCATCATCATCATCATCAAGTATTAAATAATCAGTTTACGACAATTAAAGAAGTGAGAAGTGTGAATTTACTTTAAGCTTTTAGCAGTCATTGTCCATATAATGACCATGGTCATAATCTAAGATCGTGGTCATAACACTGATAAGAAGCAATCAATAATAATTTTCGGTAGATTACGATTTTTCGTGTTCCAGCGAAGAACTGATATGTCTGCACTGACATAAAAACTCACGAAATTCACACGGTATTAGTTGTCGCACTGTTGGAGTAGGCGGAAAACGCTGCGGTGACCAGCTGGCTGTTTACAATTTGGGCGTAGTCTCTTAACTTCTATGGCGCATCTCGATGTCGTTTAGTGGCTTCTAAGCAAAAACGTTGAACAACTACACCACACACTTGTTAATAAGATGACTTCTATTGCGATTATTGTGTAAGCACGGTGAGTATTAAAATTTGTTAGTTACTTAACTGCCTATATAATTTATATTCGTAAATATAGATAGGTTTATAATAAACGTAATTGGATCAAGTGAGGTTAATCCAAAATCAAGACGCGTCAATAATGCTACTATAATATACATTGGAGTCTCGATAGCCCGGCAGTCGTTTTTCAACAGTACCTACACAAATGAAACAGATTATTTTTTGCACCACCTATAATCCAATGATAATAATTGCACTTTAAATTACCAACATGATAAATTGTAAACAAATTAATGATTGAATTTACGTATAGTAATCGGGTCATTTTTTTGTCCGAGCAATACTTATAATTTTCCATTCAAAAGCGCGTTCTCTTTCGAAGTACCAACAAAGTTTTATTGCTGTCCACAGTCTGATCTACTGCCTGTTGTAAAATAGTATTCAGTACACTCATCGTTTCTAAAGGAGACATTTTACTTGTGTCGATAGAGACACTTTCGTCCTCGTCGTCAATGTCGTCCTCTTTGCTACGATTTGTATGATTTGATAATCGGTTAAGATTTCGTAATTCGCCGAATCTTCGTCTGTGACACGTACTTGAGAACATGTATCCTGTATCTGGTTATTGAGCGTAGAGAGTTGAATGCCATTATTTTGAGCCAGTTCATTTGGATTTATTATTGCCAGTACAGAAGGTAATACGATTATTATTACTGAACGTAAATAATGAAAATAACGATAATAATACCGTCTAAAAATATTTTCTCATAGATTATTGATTCCGGGTTCCGGCAAGGATGGTAAACTTTTTAAATTTTTTCGTTTTTATTTATCAACCTAAAAAATATCGTTTTTGGTTTACGTTATTAAAAACGTTTTATTTCGTTATTATTATTATTATTTTTTTTTTTTTCGGAACAAATCTACATTTGGGACAATTTGGAGTTGTATTTCAACGTTTTGAGAATTAAAGTTTTACCACGTTTTTCAGGGAAATCATTAGTTTTAAAGTTATTGGTCTTTCAAAGTACACGACTTTCGGTGTTTTAAGCTTGTGTATAACGCATAGCTTACCACGTTTATAACGAAGTTTTCGAAATCTAAGTTATCAACGTTTTAAAAATGATTGTGTAAAATTAAATTATCGAAAATCAATGTCTAATTTTGTACCACCTCAAAATTTCAAATTATATTTTGGAATGCAGAAAAATTTATGCTAATATTGTATTTTTGAAATTGCTAAACCATGTTGGGTAGGTAATGGAGAAAAGTGAAAAAGTATTTTAGTACGCGTTCATCAAATTTTGGCGAAAAATGTAATTATATACTTTAATTCTTAAAACATTGAAATACATAGTTTTACGAAAAAAAAATTCCAAAATTTCGAGGTGGGCTAAAACTATATTTATACCATATTTTTAAATTTATAATTTTATAATAAAAATTAATAATCACTTAATGTATATATTATTATAATATAATAAATTATGTAAAAATAAAAAATTTGTGTTACTTGTCATTATCAAGTTTGTTAGGACCACCGTGTTAGATTAGGTATATCACATAAGTTTAAAAAACCTAAATCCAAGATGGATTAATCCACCTTGACTAAAAAGGCTATATTAATTTTTTTTTTCATTTAATAACTTTTTTTAAAAATGTTTTTCATTCTTTGTTCTGGGAACTCTAGACGGAATTACCTACCTACGGATTATTGTGTTCGCTGAATCACCGGGTATCTAGACTATTGAGGCTCTACTGAACCACTAATATAGTACAATATGTTTTGATAACCAAATTGATATTTTGAGATTACCTATGTTCAAAAAATTGATATTTGAAAACACCATTATTATTTTTTGTTTTTGCAATTCATTTATTATTTATCACAAATCTATAAAAAGTATATTGATGAAATTTGTTCTAATAGTTTACATGAAAATCATTTTCATGGTATCAATGAAAATGGCACTTTTACTATATAAATTAGATAGTATATAAATGTTTTAATTGAAAATGTACAATAGATAAAAGTATTAAATTTAGGTGATGGCAAAAAAAAAAAAAACTCAAAAAAATAAAATTACATAAAATGTATAGTAGTTAATAATTTAAAGAACTTTCAAATTTTATTTTCAATTACCCAACTTGACTCTACATATTATTGATGAAATTCAGTAGTAGATATATTATATTGTTGATTATAATAATATAATAATACAATAGAAAAAATTAATAAATGTAATATGATTTTCACTTCATTTTTTCAATTTTTCATTTGGGTTCCTAATAGATTCACATTTTAAATAGGTACTTAGTATTTTTTCATTGTAATATATAGACATTTTGGCATTCATTATTTTATTCAATGTGAAATTTATATTTATTTATCTAATATTACTGCACCTATTTAATCTGTGCACATTTATCTATTTATCATTATACTATTAGTCAAAAAACTCTATAAATACTTCTATGAATTTGTAATTTATTGTTATATTTCAGAATGAATGTTAAAATTTTCCGTCTAAATTGAAAAAAAATATTAAAAATATACCTATTAGGTAGCGTTTTGTTTTCACGGGTAATACAAATATAGGGTCAAAGAATAAATATTTTAAAAATTTGAAATTTTATTTACTCCTTAGTTAATTGTTTATATGTTTCAGATTTAGATTTTAATCATGTCAGCAGACATGATTGTTATTAATGAAGACAAAGCAAATAATTCTCGAAAGAAATTAAAAGTGGCACATATAAATTTAGAAAGTTTATGTGGAGAGGAAAAACCTATAAGTAAGAATTTTCAGTTATCTAAAGAGGAATCTTCACATAAAAATAGTGAGTTATTAAAAAAGAAACTAGTTAAAAAAGAAAAAAGTTGTGATTCAATTGATAGAAGTTGTATGAATGATGATGATATTTACAAAACTGACAAATCCTTAGATTTCAATAAAGAACATTCAAATAAAGATCAGTTTGTGGATGCTGAATTGACAATTTTAGATAATGATCCTAATGTTGATAAAAATGGTGATAATGAAAGTGACAATTATGTACAATTTTCAGATTGTGATTTTGAATTAGAAAATAATACTAATGAAATAAATGATTATTCAAATTATATTTCAAACGCAAATAAAAACATTTTTGAAGATTCTCCCAAAGCCAACACTGATGTTAATGAAATTGGTAGCTCGCAAAATAATATAAATGATTCCATAATTATAAATGATGAAGAAATTGATAACTTATTGGATAAAGCATATTTAGAGAAAAAAAATCCAAAGAAAACTGTCTCTAATGATGATTTTAAAGTGTATGCAAAATCTGTGTTAGAAGAAATAGGTACAAATCATTTTGATATTTTGCCTGAAAATTGGATTGTCACCACTCATAGGTGTGGTATGCCCATATATTTACACAAGAGTTCTAGAGTTGTGACCTTAGCAAGACCATATTTTTTGGGACCTGGTGATCCTGCATCACACTTAGCACCATTGTCTGCAATAACTTGTTTACAATACAAAAAAGGTCTTGAAACTAAAGAACGTTTAAAAAATGAACCCGATTTTCAGATAAGGAAACAAGGCAATATGATTATACCAAATGCCAAAGTTGAGACTGTTCAGGAAAATATTATTAAAGAATCTTTAACACATGAAGAACTTCAGAAGTATTGCCAATCATTATTTAAGTGAGTATTTATAGAATTGTGCTTATTTTTATAATTAATTTAAATTACATATTTCAACTTTAGGTTTAAAAAAGTAAAAGCTCCTTTAAAAAAAGAGGCTCAACCACAACCTACAAGTTCAGAAAGTGATCCCACACAAAAAAATACAAAAGAAAGACCTTCATTGCCGGATAGTACTAAATTAATATCATTTCCAGTTCAAAGCGAGGACCAGGATAAACAATGTAGTCGTAGAGACTGGCTAATAAATCCAAATGGCAAAAGTTACGTATGTATCTTACATCAATATTTACAACATGTATTTAAAACCCAACCATCCTATGTTTTTAAAAAAGCAGAGAATTCAGAAACCTATTCTGCTACTGTTATCCTTAATGGTGTTAAGTATGGTGTTGGTTTCGGTAATAGTAAAAAGCAAGCAAAACAGGACGGTGCCCGCATTACGTTAAATATTCTCATACCAGATATAAAAAACCAAATAGATTCAGATGAAATAAACAAATCTGAACCAGTGATCTTTGATCAAATTAAAATCACCAATCCTAGAGTTTCTGAACTTTGTGTCAAAACTGGAGAACTTAGTCCATATTCCATACTATTAGTGTGTTTACAAAGGAATTTTGGAGAATGTGAGGTGAAAATTGATTATTTATCGAACCATCGTAAGATTCTAAATCAATGCAAAATGGTGGTTGATAAACATACTGCTTCTGTTCCTTGTAAAAGTAAAAAAGAAGGTAAACAAAAAGCTTCTCAAGTAATATTGAGTCTATTACATCCACACATTGACAATTGGGGTTCATTGGTGCGGTTGTATGGTAACCGGAGCATACAAAATACTAAAAAAAAAAAACAAGAACAGCAAGAAATAACTCAGCTCCAATGTAAAACAGATGATTATCAACCAAATGTGGCCATATTAAATAAACTTAAAAATGAAATGATTACGGTCGATAGACAACATAAATTGAACAACTCTAATGCTTACTCTATGCTAACTAAATGCCCATATACTATTAACATATCAAGCACACCCTCCACATCTAACAGCAATTAATTTATTAATATATTTATATTAAGTTTGACCTAAGAAGTTAAAAAGTATTAACTTTAATATCTATGCGATTGAATTTAATATAACTTATAATTTATAATTACCTAATGAAAAACATCTGTATTGTTGTCCAATAAGTAATAAATAGTAGCAGTTTTAGGTAGATCTAAGATTAAGTTCTTAGTGAGATCTTAATCTTCATTAGATAAGATTATTATCAATAAAATTTTGTAAATAAAATAGATTATTGCACTGTATTGTGTATAATATAATTTGTATCAGTAGATACTTCAAGTGGTCAACTATGACCTCAAATTCTAGAATTAGAGTTATTATATAGACAGATTAAAATAATGAATGTTAGGTTAAATTTCAATATGAATGGTAACATGTTGCGACAGGAGGGTGTTTTTTTTTAGCCTTTTACACACTTGCAGGCTGCAAGTGTGTAAATAAAGAACTACAGGTTAAATTTTGTTTATGTATTGCATTAGTATTTAGGATGAGTCTTGGTAGTTTAAACTTTCAACAGCTCTATTTTTTTTTTCGGAAGTAGTATAGGTAGTTTTGGTATATAGTATTATTTTACTACGGTGTTAGGTTGTTTTATTGCTTTACATAGACTATTTGTATTATAAATTAAGTATGAAAAAATTTAAACTCTTTTGTCTAATTTTAAAATTAATTTATATCTGAAAAAATGATTAATAACTGTAATACTCATAGGTACCCAAGTATTTTGGATATTTAGTGCTGCAAAGATTAGAAACCATCAAATTTGTTTTTAATAGTCAACATAATTATAATTTTTTCTTTTGATTGTATACTTAATGTATACTCATAATATATTATGTACAAGTATCATTCAAATTTTATTCAAAATTAAAATAGTCTGTATTAATTTTGTTTTTATGTCATAACAAATTTTAAGTTGGTGTTCTATTAAAATATTATAGTTAAAAATATCACCTCCTATTGTAGCTCCGCTACTCACAGGCATGCACTTGTATGGTGATGCCACATAAACAATTGTATATTTTGTATTATGAATATACCTATTAATCATATGTGCTTAGTAAAAAAGAAGTTATTTACTTAGTTGTTAATCACCAATTAGATATTTAAAAAAAAAACTCAAGTACCTACCTACCCACAATGTTTTTGAATATATCTATTTAAAATATTTCGTATTAATTTAGTATATAAAATACCTTACAAAAGATTATTTTTTTTTTTATTATGTGTATTCCTAGTCATAAGTGTTTATTAAAAAAGGTATTTACTTGTTTTTTACTAACCAATTAGATATTTTTAAAAAAACTCAAGTACTTACCTACCCTCAATGTTTTTTTTAATATATCTATTTAACATATTTTGTATTGATTTAGTATATAAAATACCTTACAAAGGATTATTTTTTTTTTATGTGTGTTCCTATTCATAAGTGTTTAGTAAAAAAATTATTTTACTTGTTTGTTAATAACCAATTGGATATTTTATAAAAAACTCAAGTACTTACCTACCCTCAATGTTTTTTTAATATATCTATTTAAAATATTTTATATTGGTTCAGTATATAAAATACCTTACAAAGGATTATTTTTTTTTTATGTGTGTTCCTATTCATAAGTGTTTAGTAAAAAAATTATTTTACTTGTTTGTTAATAACCAATTGGATATTTTTTAAAAAACTCAAGTACTTACCTACCCTCAATGTTTTTTTTAATATATCTATTTAACATATTTTGTATTGATTTAGTATATAAAATACCTTACAAAGGATTATTTTTTTTTTTATATGTGTATTCCTATTCATAAGTGTTTAGTAAAAAAGGTATTTTACTTAGTTGTTAAACACCAATTAGATATTTAAAAAAAAAAACTCAAGTACCTACCTACCCTTAATGTTTGTTTAACATATCTATTTAAAATATTTTGTATTGATTTAGTATATAAAATACCTTATAAACGATTATATTTTTTTTTATAATGTGTATTCCTATTATTCATAAGTTTTTAGTAAAAAAGGTATTTTACTTAGTTGTTAATCACCAATTAGATATTTAAAAAAAAAAACTCAAGTACCTACCTACCCACAATGTTTTTTTAATATATCTATTTAAAATATTTTGTATTGATTTAGTATATAAAATACCTTACAAACGATTATTTTTTTTTTTATGTGTGTGTTCCTATTCATAACTGTTTAGTAAAAAAATTATTTTACTTGTTTGTTAATAACCAATTGGATATTTTTTAAAAAACTCAAGTACTTACCTACCCTCAATGTTTTTTTTAATATATCTATTTAACATATTTTGTATTAATTTAGTATATAAAATACCTTACAAACGATTATTTTTTTTTTTTTTTTTTTTTTTTTTCCTTTTTTTAAGTTTTTTGTAAAAAAGGNTATATTTTTTTTTTAATGTGTATTCCTATTCTTAAATGTTTAGTAAAAGAAGTATTTTACTTGTTTGTTACTAACCAATTGGATATTTTTAAAAACACTCAAGTACTTACCTACCCTCAATGTTTTTTTTAATATATCTATTTAACATATTTTGTATGGATTTAGTATATAAAATACCTTACAAACATTTATATTTTTTTTTTAATGTGTATTCCTATTCTTAAATGTTTAGTAAAAGAAGTATTTTACTTGTTTCTTAATAACCAATTGGATATTTAAAAAAAAAAACTCAAGTACCTACCTTTACTCAATGTTTTTTTAATATATCTATTTAAAATATTTTGTATTGGTTCAGTATATAAAATACCTTACAAACGATTATATTTTTTTTTATAATGTGTATTCCTATTATTCATAAGTGTTTAGTAAAAAAGGTATTTTACTTAGTTGTTAATCACCAATTAGATATTTAAAAAAAAAAACTCAAGTACCCTCAATGTTTGAGGGTTATTGTCATTTTTAAAAATGTACAATTTAAACTTTTGTTAATATCAATAAAACGAACAATCAGAAAAAAAATGGTAATATACTGGAACTGGTGCGGCCACTGTTGCAAGTGGGAAATTGGGATAGCACGATGCATACGGTTATTTAATTTATATGTGCAACCAATGGTAAACAATCGTTGACTAAAGACGATTCTGAACGGACATCGGTTGCCTAACAGTATTGCTCAACACTGCGGCGATTTCGCCGTAGCAATACCCGTATAATTCTAATTACCGTCTAGTAAAACGTGCGCGTTCACGTTTCTCCGTTCCGTTCTATTGCATAAGTACAATTAAAATAATAAATAAATCGTTTACCGGCGGTCCATAAACCGCGGCTGTAGCGTGCCGCGCGAAATGTCCTAGTGGGATTTTACCAGAAAACCCGCACACCGCACGAGTCCCCCCCTACCCCCGCCGCCGGTGGATTTGTTACACGTTATTATTGCCGCGACGCTGTTGTTTAACATCCGCGGCGAGCGGGTTTTCGTCATTGTACCGATGAGAACGTACGAGGAGGCCACGTCGCCGAGGGCCGTCGCGCGACCGCGGCACCCGTAGCCGCGCTACGGACCCGGCGACCGTCGTGCGGACGGCCCAGAATTCATCCGGCAATAATAGGCGCGTTTTGCCGGCGCGGTTTCGAGCGACCGGGTCTGGCGGACAAACCGTTTCGGCGACCCGCGGCCGGAGTCCGGCAGACGATTGAAAGCCGCGCGTTTACCGTTTTCGGTTGCCGATCGTGTACCGGTGCGGACCATCATTCAGTCGGGCCGTCCGTTTTCTGTAACGAAATATATTTACACGGCGAACGAAACGTTTTGCCGTGCGACCGTCTGTGCAGCACGCGACGGAAAACTGTTTTTGCGAAAACCGCATCCGCAGAACGCGCCCGACGTAGCGGATTGATTGGAATTTGAGAACACCGTTTTTCGTCAACGCTCTCGGACATGTCGGTTAACGCGTATGACCACGAACATGATCCTATCGACTACCTATTAAAACGAATTACCAAGTCCATTGTTTTGTATGTAAGTAATATGAATGTTAATGTTTTCAACCGATGTCAGTTTGTATGCAAAACACGAATCTACATGTATCAAATTGGATTTCCGTTTCAATATTTTTGTAGGTACTTTATTCAATGTTTCTAAATTATAAAATATTTAATTGAAAGTTAAGTCGATTAACCGTATCGAGTATTCGTATCGGTGACTCTCGGCGCGATCGAATCCATCTGGTTGTATTATCAAGCCGCCACGAATAATAGCGGTTCGCCGATAAGGGAGTCCGATATCGATTACTTCCCCGCATCGGCGGATTCGGCACCTGCTGCAGTTGTAGGAACGTCCGAATCGGCAGGTCCAGCGGCCGACCAATCCGATGAATTTAGCAGCCGTACAGTTTATGTCCGTGTGCACTTCATCTGTCCATATACAATATGGGGCCCCCATAAAACCAACGTTCCAGGCACTTCGGGGGCCTTTGGCACGTGCCGGGGCAACACTGTTACCAAGTATTTTAATATTCCTGAGCCCAGGAGCGACGTGTAATTTCATTTCCCGTGTCTCCGGGCGCGCAGTCCGTCGTCGCGGTTACGGATTTCAACCCCTTGCGCTTCGGAGACCGTACACAAAGTCGGACAAATATTTCGCGCGTTCGGTAGCGGATTATCAACATTTTTCTGGGCGGGTGCTGTTATGAATGTAGATTGTACCTCATCTAATTTATATTATCTATGTAACACTGTAATAATATGTGATAGTAGATTATGTAATGTGTGTCATACCGACTTTAGTCAGTATTCACTATATAACGTTGTTTTTAATAGTCAAAATATAAGAGTTAATAATATTAAAGTGAAACTGTAAATTGTATTAAAACACATACACAACAGGTGCCTTAAAAAATGGTACGCATTTAAAATAGGTGTCCCTATTGACGGATGTCTCGGTTTTGGACGACATTTTATTGAAACTATATCAGTGTCCCGGGGTGAGGGGGGGGGTCCAGACCCCCTGGATCCCTCCCGCCACCTCGTGAATCCGCCACTAAGCGTGCACTACCGTATCCCAGGTCAGGGGTGCCAAACCTTTTGAACACTACGTGCCAAAAGTTGCCTTTTTTTTTTTTTTTTCGATCGTTGTATTCAATGTTGTAAAAAAAAAAAAAATTATCGTAATTTGATTGTTTTAGTATAAAAAAGGCCGGTTCAGATACACAGAACACTTGATGCCGATTCGTCGATATCCGGTTTATAGTTAGTAACTTTTAATGAAGTACACGCGGCACTGCGTTCGTCAGTTGGTCGGTTTCTGAAATCAGATTTCATAAAAAAACTCATTTCTGAAAATGGTGACCCGCGCGAACACGTCGACGAGAAAATAGACAAAACAGCCGGTGCCGCTATTTCCAAAGCGGACTAGTCTTTTGGGATTTCATCCCGCACGTTCAAAATCTCGTTCCGCGCGTGTATCACAGCAGAAACGTTTAGGTTTTTCGCGTGCCGCGTGTTCGCCATCCCTGTCCCAGCGTCCACCGCGCAGCGTAACGTCATTACTATTACTGTGACGTACGCGTACGGCGGATAATGTCGCGCGCAGGTTCGGGTGTACGGGTACATAATAATAATAATAATAATAATAATAATAACGATGATAATAATGATAATAACGACGATGATAATAATAATAATGACGACAATGTAACAACCCGCGTTATCGCAAAGGTCCTCCGCGCATACGGACTTTAACCGTACCGGACCCGCGACCGCGCCGTAGAGAGATCCCTTTGAAGCCCGCTCTCGTCGGCCGAGTGTATATTTCAAACGACGACGACCTTTATTCGTTTTTTCCGTTTCGAAATTATTATTATTATCTCGGCCGTGCCGTCGGCGAACCCGGTCCGCATCGTTATAATGTGTAACGCAATCGTTTTCGCCACGAAATGTTTCGCGACTTTGAGCGCGGGTTTTATAATGCATAGCACGGCGCGCCCCCGTGTCGGGGCAGCCCTTTCCCGGACGGCAGTAGGTATAATTCACATTTTCGCAAAACGTCACACGCACGACGAGAAGAATCAAAAAAACCGCGTTGGTACGGCCCTCAGACAGCAAAAAATAAAAAAAAAAATAAAAATAAAAATGTTTTTTAAACATCTTGAAAAATGTCTATTAACTAATAATAAAATATAATAATGGCCGAATTTTCATTAATAAAAAAAACAAAAAGTGTTAAAACAATAATAATTTAACGTTTTTTAAAATATATTTTGTATTAAATATAATAGTATTTAAATAAACGATTGAAAACCATAAAGTTAATATTAATAGTTATACTCGTAGTTAACAAAGTCATCTATAAAATTCCAATATTATAAGGTTTTAGTTAGGTGTACTAATTTATTGGCCATTTATATAGGTGAAACTTTAGGAATTTAACATTAATAAATAATTGAACTTTATAGATAATAATTAAACATGTGTTTTTACATTTTAAATTATTAAAACCATTAAAAATTTAGATATAGATGAAGTAAAATATTAATTTCTGAAGTTCTAATAAAACGAATTATTAAACATTTTACTTATAAACGCAAAATTTATTTGTTATGAAATATTACAATGTATAACTAAGTGAATATAATAAATTAATAAAAAAAAAAAAAAAAAAGACGTTTTAGGACAATGGGGACGGGTGCAGCCACTGTTACAGGTAATTCAGTGTATACCTGTATCAAGCAACGATAGACCACTGCTTACGAAAAAACGATTCTGAGCGGTGTTCAGTTGGTAGTGATGATTTGTCAACAATATATATGCTATATCATAGTAAAATAATTAAATAGGCTCTATACAATTTTTTTAATAATATTCGTTTAATGTCGTACCGTTTTCTTACGTTTTTCCCGATTTTCTCGTGTTTTTTTTTCAAATTTTTCATATTTGCCGAGAAAACTCTAGAGAAAATCGAAAAATGACTTCTCTGGAGTTACTATCATTAAAAGCCGGAGCACAATTTCTGGTAGAAATATTGTCCACAAAAAAATAGAATATAAACGCCTTTGTAAAAC